TATTTTGCTTAAAAAAAAAACTTGAGGCAATGCCCTGCAGTTGTATTTTTTATTCAGAATGTGATTGAAATTGTAAATATTTAAATTATTGAGAGAAGACTGAAGAAGCATTTAAAACCAATGCAAAGAGTGTTACATATTTTGGTATTTTATTTTCGATTGTAAGCATGGTTAATGTTACAAGCAGTAATTTTTTATTTGCTAACAAATTGTGAAGTGTAATTTTTTTTACAAACTCAGTATGTCCTATGACACTGTCGTTGACAGGTCAGGTTTTTTGTTAAATGCATTAGATTGGATCTGATATTGATGATGAGCCAATCCTGTTGATGGACCAGTTGATTTTTTCCCGTGCTCCAAAACAGAGTGCGGTAGGCCAGCTGCGACAGAAATCCCACGCCATTTTGAACTTGCTGTCCCCTTTCAAACACACACACACACACACACCCCTAAACTTTTGGACATTTTACTTGAAACCTTTAAGCACTTTTACAGACTCCACACATCTGCGCACACAGGAAGTAGAGTTGTTGTAGGCAAGTTGAACCTGTTCCTCCAATTTAAGGTTTTACTCCAATCAGCTAACAAGGTCTATGCAATGTCAAATTAATGTTGCTATTTATTTTCTTTGAGAAAAAAAATGGGGCATATACACATTTTTTCAATAAGTAAGGAGCAAGCCGAATATGGTGTTTGAGCATAGGGGTGTAAATGTATGTATTTGTTTGTCACTGTTTTTGGTCTATGGTATGTATTTGTTTGTTTTTGGTTTGGTATTTGCTCCGTTTAAAAAGTATAAATCCTGTAGGGAGGGAGCGCTGAATAAAAGTGTCACGGGGCCGAGTGGCCTGTACTGAACAGGACTCAGGTGCAGAAACCCAGAGCAGAGACAGCAGATGATGTGACCATTTATTAGGCGTAAGTGCAAAAAATGTAGCAAAGACAAAAAACAATAAGACGTGGAGTTTGACGAGGCGTGGCCTGGGAAACGTGGCTAGGGTGAGGGAATGAGGCCTGAGATGCAGAGTGGAGCTGAGCAGGGAACAGTCACACTGAAGAGAGAAGATAGTGGAGTTAGGGAGGTAGTGGAGGCAGCTCTGAAGTGGCAAGTTGTAAGGGTAGCAATTCTTACTCGTAGTAGGGGACATGGAGTGTTGAGAGGGGGGTGAGAGAATCCAGGGGGGGCTGAGAGGCGTGGAAAGGCTGACCTGAGATCCGGGGCTTCAGATGGAGTGTGATGGCAGGAGGGCAGGCAGGTGAGGCACAGAGAGATTTCCAAAACGATTGCTTGGTATCCTGAGTCTGGAGGTGGAGCGTTAGCCAAGGTGAATACAGCAAATGTGTTGATGACGAACTGGCAGTAAATGAACATCAACGTGTGGCTTAAATCCCTCTGGCTTGATTGCCTGCAATAGGCTCCAGGTGTGCAGGAGCTGGAGGAGTTGGCCCTGCCCAGGGGCGGATCCCAGGTAGGTTCAGGAGCCTTATGGAAATTCCAGCCACCCACTGCAGACCATGACAAAAAGTGAAAAAGTAGTATCAAAGTAGTATAGAATTAGTCCATTTACTGTTAATAAATAAAACAAGTACAATAAGTTAAGATGGCGCCGGTGAGGTCGGCTGCCATGCTGGATGCTCTGCCCCAACTTTTCCACTTTTTTTCTTTTTTCGTCACTTTTTGCTATATCTGCCATAATCTTGCACGGGCATCATGCAAAACACACAAATTCGCTACAGTAGAGACACTCTGGTTTCTATTGGTCTACAATACACAAACATTTCACCATTCCAGACCCAACCTGGCCAAAGGAGATCCTGAGAGAGAACAAAGGACGCGACCCGAAGCGATCCTGCTAGCCAATGTTCAATTCAATTCAATTCAATTCAATTTTAT